TTTTCTTAGAAAACTAGTATTTTCCATCTTATTATATATTTAAATAGGTTTATTTTGTCAATTGCAACTCTAAAGGCACTACAAACAATTACTTTGTTAATTTGAATTACATTAAGCATCATGCCATCAGCTGTTTTTCTTACTAGCAAATAGTTACTAGTAAAAATTTATCCAGTAAAAATCCAGTAAAACTTGCAGGTTCAGCTGTCATTTTTGCTCTCTCAATTTCCCCTCTTTTGCTAGTTTTTTGCAAGTTTTTGTGTACGAAAACGACATCCAGTAAAAAACTAGTAAAATTAGTACTGGATTTACTGGATAGTGCGTACGCGAACAGGGCTAATATGACATAGCATATATTCATCTACAGTTTTATCCGTGATAAAAACATTACAAGGTAAGTTCATTCTCTCAATTCGTCGGCCATGATTTTTTTCTGACGTTTGCACGCATTTTAAAATCATTTAAAATTGAAAATAAAAAAAATTAAATTATTCACAATTGTTGTTATTTGAGAGTGAAAATGAGAATGTGTTTTTGTGAGTTTGAGTTTTGAATTTTTAAATTACATTGCTGGCAAACATCAAACTGCCTCTCAATGGTTCTACCTTGTTATGTTTTTATCATGTTTTATCTTTGTATTTTTATCTCTAACTCTCACAAACAAAAGTATTTATAATTTTTCTCAATATCTGCAATATTTTTTATTCTAATTTATTTTCGGTAATATTTTATAAAAATATACATAGTTCGTCCTACATCAAAAACATAAAAACTAAATTCAAAACTTTGTGCAAAACTCAGGAAAATTCAATAAATTTGCAACTTCCTATTCAGATTTTTTAAAAAAAGTGCAAGCTTGAAGTTGCTAAAAAATCGGGTTCATTTTTGCCAATTTGGTTATACTAAAATTGAATGGGCTATAAAACTGCATACTTCGAATTTTTCTAAAAAATCTGAATGGAAAGTTGCAAGTTAGTATGGAAATTTATTGAATTTTCCTGAGTTTTTCACAAAGTTTAGAGATTTAGTTTTCATGTTTTTTGGTAAAGTACGAAATATATTTTTATTGAAAAATATTGGAAATAAATGAGAATAAAAAAACTTTGCATACATTGCCAAAAATTCTCTGTGCCAATACTTTTATCCGCCTTATTCATAAAAAATAAAAGGTTTAAAGAGCTCTTAAAGTCTTAAATATTTTTTATGAATTTAGGTGTAAGATTTTATCTATTGTATTAAAAAAATTTATAAACTGCATGTAATCTTGAGAACCATATTTTATTTTTTTCTGAGTGGGTGGTAAGATGATTTATTTTGGAAAGAATTTGCGTCAAAGACAAAAGTCTTGAAAGATCTGCTAACAAGGAGGTCTTAGCGTTATTTTGTGTGTCTTTTAGCGATAAGTTTTCTAAAGATAAATTTAAAAGATATACATATATATACATATATATATATACATACGTATGTATACATAAATAAAATAGTAGAACACTAAAGATGGAACAACGTCGAAACCGGTTTGCCTCCAAACCAAACTTGGCAGGGGTTAATGGAAATTCGTTTCACATATATACATAGGCTACATTTCTTTATTCATTCTGAACGTTTGGAATAAACTTTTTTGTTTACTTATTCTTTAGAACGTTCCTGATGATATGTTAACGTATATTTCAAAGGCATTCTGTTTATTCCGGCTGTGAAATGGGATTATCCGGAATGTATAAAGAAACGCAGCCATACATATACATTCTGCCGATATTTAAATTGTAAATAAGCTAATTAAATTATAAAGTAGGTTGCACTAAAATACATTCCTACTTACTATTGAAAATATGCTTTTGTATCTTTCTATATACATATGTATGTATTATAATCAGAACACGTTTATACATGAAAATCTCAGCACATGTACTATATATACATACATATATCGTCGTTTAAAGTACAGAACAGCGTATCGTCATTCTGCAAAGCCACGTAACTGAGATATGCCGCCAAAAATTGGATTTACTCACACAAGCTATTGGCTTAATCCTTACCCATTCGTCCTGAAACATACTAGCCGGAAATGCGATTGGTTTATAAAAAAGAGAGCCATTTTGAAATACGAGTGTTTTTACTCTCTAGAAAATAATTTATGCAACGGTTTTGTACTTTAAACGACGGTATGTATGTAGTTATGTATGTAAATTCAAAATGACTCAATAAACAAATACAAATTTCTAAATATACATAAGCTTTAAAGACCAATGGTTTTAAATTTGGCCCAAATATGCCTCTGGTAGAGATCCCCAGATGATTGATGTCAATGGTCAACCACAAACGGTCTGCCATTCGGTGTTATTACCGACTTGCGGTTTCGACCGGAAGTGGGTTTAACCGACCGGAAGTCCGGTTTCGATCGATTTCAAATCCCACCATTTTTCAAGGCAGAAAAATAAGGTTGAGAATTGCCTTGAGGATGGCGACCGCTGTTAGAAACAACTATTCCTAATTTAGTTGTTGCTCGGCCCAGGGAACGAACACAGGTTATATATAGTGATAGTACGTACCTTTAACTCAGCCATAGCAACCGTAAAGGGTACTGTTTAGTAAGGGGTCCATTTATTTCGGGGTATTGCGTCCAAAGGGGTGACCCGATCCAAAAAAAGTATTTGCATGCACCTTTAGTCTAGTGTCTACACATTATTTTAACACCTATTTTTGTAATTTTTGGTAAGTAATTTGTTAGGCAATTCGGTTTGAAATATGCTCTTTTTGTAAAATTCGGAAGTTAGCGTACATTTATCACTCCTATTCTGCTTAAAGAAGCCACTTCACCAATACATTTTTATATTCCACTTCACTTCGAACTTTATTCGATTACCTATACCTTTCTTTATTACATTAATTTTAACCAATTAATCACAATTTATTAAATAAAAACACCTTCAAAATTACGCGCCTACCTTCGCTTGCATATGCAAATTAAATAGCGGCGTTCAGCTGTCAAACTCCAAAATATACAAGAAGGATGAGTAACAAAAGAAAATAAGATATAACCCACGTAGCATTAAAAATATAAAGCTTTCCATGGAAAATATGTATTCGAAGGCCGAAAGGTGTTCAGTCCCAATTCTTTGGCAACACAGAAAGAAGAATTCTACTAGCAGGAGAATTTCTACTTGCCGAAGATTTTTTAACCGGAAAATTTTATTAGCAAAAAATGTTACCGGTTCTTGTCACCGCTATTTTGGGTGCGTTGGTAATGAAGTTAAAATATTCAGCAATTCAGCTGTGAAGAATTGTGCAAATTCTGGCATTGCATATTTCACGGGGCAATACTTTGTTACCAGCTGTTGAGATGGTAACAAAATTTACCGGTTACAAGAATACAGAGAGTGCGAAAAAGGTTTAAAAGATTACAGGAACTTTATTTATCGGTTACAAACTTTTAATTACTAGCGCAGAATAGACCTGTTAGTGAAGGTTATAATCCTTCAGTGCGGCCGAAAGCCGCCTACGCAGAAAGAAGTTATGCGCTAAAATACTATCATATTCCTATAACATTTTTACCTGTCGCGTTTTTTTTAATATAACAATATTTTTAGTGAAATTTTTTTTAATAAATTTTTGTTAACTTTTTTGTACAAAATCGGCTGATAACCAACTTGGGATAATTTCTTTTATTTAAAAATCCTACGGTTTCTGTTAGTTGGGTTATATTCCAATTCAATCTGCTCAGTTTCCCTCGATAAATCAAGAATTATAGAATACAAGATTGCGCCAATCGAGCTGAGAGCAACTGGCCGTGACGTCAAAAAATACCAGAATGAGAGAGCAAGACGTACTCGACAAGAAAAAGAGGAAGCATCGACCAAAAGGCAGTGTTGCCAAGCTTTGACTTTGAAAAAGCACCAAATTTGTATTGATGTATTTTATGGACTTTATATGAATACATAATTTTATTGTAAGGATGCCGATTCAAAAATCAATGTTTCTTGCACAACGGTCGATTTCTTCTGGCATGCTTGAAGGTGCTGCCACATATTTCTTTGTCACTTATGATTGTCATTGTGCCATGATTTTGTTAAAATTTTTGTAAAATTGCTTACCACACTTACGATTGCTATAAATTTTGCTTAATTTTTTTTGAGATTTTCTAATTTGGTGTCTTCAAACTAAAACAAAAGCACCAAAAACGCACCTAGCGCAAAACTCAAAAATTTTCACGTTTTGATTACCCACTAAATTTGGTGCGAAAAGCATCAAGTTGGCAAAAGTGAATGTAAACAAAAGTATTTTATGACGTCAGGGATTGGGTGGATGCTGTCAAATCGACGAAGAGAGGGTTAGCGGTCAGTTGCAACAGTGTTGCAAATTTTCATCAGTGCTGGAGTAATGCCCCTTTTATTACGATCCTCGAACAGGCCCAACATCTATTTTATTAGTGTGAATTGCACCCAGCATGCCACCAGCTTGGCAAATAGTTTCTAGTAAAAAATTATCCAGTTAAAGACTTTAAAACTCGCAAGTTCACCCTCCATTTTTAACCGACTTCCAAAAAAGGAGGAGGTTATCAGTTCGCCGGAATATTTTTTTTTATGTATGTTACCGCATAACTTTGGACCACGTAAACCGATTTCGATATTTATTTGGTTTAGATCCGATCATTGAATCATGAAATATATAGATATGTATATATATTTTTTTAAGTCGTTTTTTTTTTGCTAAAAATTTCTTGTTGCTATCTCAATTTCCCTACTTTGCTAGTTTCAATTTTTGGTGTAAGAAAGAAGCCAGTAAAATTATTACTGGTTCCCTGTGCTCAGATAAATACTGGAGCTTTTCCTTGATGTACGCATCCGGTTTTATTGGTAGTTAGTGGAAAAAAGCTACTATTCTTCATCAGTTAACAAGCCGATTTGTCCTGGCGGAACGCGAAACCTACTTGATTACAAAACCCTTAATTATTAAATCACGAGATTGAACCATGAGAATCTGCCATGTAAACAGGGAAATTCGTATTGGTAGAATAAAAACTATTTTTATTGTCTAATTTATAACGAATCATAAAGTTATGGGTATATATTTAGTCAGTGCTACCACCGACCACGTCCGCCACCTCGACCACCACCTCCTCTTTTAAATCCTCCACCTCCTCCACCACCTCCTCTGTTAAAACCACCACGACCACCGCCTCCATTTCCACCTCCGCCGCCTCTTCCAAACCCACCACCCCTGCTTCCACCTCGACCACCGCCGCGACTACAACCTGCTCCACCATCTTGACCCTTTTTCTTAGAGCCCTTCCGTTGGGGTGGCTTTGGCAAAAATCTTGCGATCGGTAGTAGTTTTGCTGGATCAATGAATAATATTTGTTGCTGTTTAAAACTCTTTGCATTCATATTCTCAGACAACTTCACTGTCACAGAATAATCCCGTATCGTCCCGAAGATTTCATCAATCTTGCCAATTTGTTCTTTATTTTCCAAATATATTGGTGCGTTGAAATAAGGTACGTCTTCAATTTCTACCTTGCAAACAAGATCGTCTTCGCATGCGTAACTGAAATGACCTAATGATATAACCCGATCAGGAGGTCCTTGATCAAACCCACGGCCACCAAAGCGATTGCCGCCGCCTCCACCACCTAGTCCAAAACCACCGCCACCACCACCACCACGACCAAAACCACCGCCGCCGCCGCCACGTCCACCGCCTCCACCACGTCCACCACCGCCACGACTACCACGAAAACCTGTAAATATGAATGTTCGGTACAAGTATATTTTTTTAATTGTTAACTCATACCTCCTCCACGACTCCCACCACGGTTGAAAGACATTATTTTTATTCAATCTATTAACAAAATTCGTTTATACAGAAACAAAAAACTGAATCCGTGTGTTTATCAACCACGCGGTCTATATCGAAATAGAGCTGCAGACTATCGATAGTTTCGATGCTTTTTAGTTCTAGCTACTATCGATTGTTTTTTGGCTCTATCGATAGTCCATCTCAGTCAGCCTGTTCCCGTACATGGTTTAAAGATATACAGGTTACGACATTTCGGTAGTGAGAAAAAAGTATCGAAAAAACAGCTGATAGCTCTGACGTCATCCGTACCAATGGCTGTTCGTTTGTGCTATACTCGAAGTTATAAAACATGTAAATTTTCACTTTTTAGTGCATTGAATAAATAAAGCTTGATATATGCATTCAATTCAGTGTTGTTTTTTCCATTTAAACTATTTAAAAGTTTTCCGGCGTACAGACAAGTGAATATAGGCTCTCTGAAAATGGTCATGCAAGCAAGAGTTTTCCACGTACAAGACAATGTAATAAAACATGTAAATTTTCGCTTTTTAGTGCATTGAATAAATAAAACTAGGTATATTTAAATGTACTAACATGTATTTAATTCAGTGTTTTCCTTTTTCATTCATAGTACAAGGAGTTGTTAAATAAAAAATGTTATGTTACTGTTTTAGTAAATTTTCTCTTTCGCTTATACGCGTTGGCAATAATTGTTTTATTTAAAGTGCGTATTCTAAAAAACATACGTGCGCGAAAGAAGAGTTTTTTAATTTTTATATCGCATGGAACATGATCCGCTTTTAAGATATGGGTCTGCAGATAACTGCTGGCAATGAATAAACCGTCTTCATTAACCTCATCGAAAACTCTGCAATGCCCTCATGTTCGCCATCATTTCTGGAGTTGGTTTCGATAAGCCACCTTCGGTGACGTGATTTACCCAAGTGAAATCCTCCTCACCTGTCGCTCCCTCTCTGATGTTGGGAATCTGAGTGTGCAGCTTATGGCAGATATAACCTGCGAGATTCTCCAAGCCATCGTGCTCCAAAGATTCCAGTTCGTCATCTTCAACTTGCTCGCTCTCATTTTCTGGTTGCAACAAAAGGCCATTAAATATTATACCTATGGAAAATTACAAATGTTATTAATGTCGAGAAGGTTAAAATAAGATAGGATTAAGCTGGGCTTCATACCTGTGAGGGAATTATCCGACACTTCAAGGTCAGGAGTGTCATCCACCGATGCATTTGCGCTGGCAGATAACACACCTTCGTTAAAACCAAGTATGTATGCCCTTAGCCTGTACTTAAATTCCTGGCGATCGGGATGGTCGTGTTGGCCTCCTTTGCTTCGAATAACGCCAAAGAAATTTTCAAGGACGTCTTGAATAAGCCTGTACGTCAGGACATGCTTTATGTCGAAGCGACTTTTTAATTCCCCATGCAGCATCTTTAGGGCATTGTTGGACACAGACAAGAACACAACCTTTCCTTAAGGCGTGAGAATAATAAGCACAACCAATTTGACGCCTAATAATCTGAAATTAGCCTGTGTAAACGGGGTGATTCACAAACGAACTTTGGGTTAATCCCAAATCATATGGCAATTTTTGTGCAACTGGGATTAGATGTGTATAGTAACAAATAGTCAGTACTAATTTTTACTGGAAAGGTGTATAATAACCCAGAAAATTTGCAAGAGAGCGCTGAATCAAGAGCGTAACAACAGAAAAAGAGTTGCAAATTCTTGCTAGTGAAATTTTTACTAGCAGAAGAAGAAGAATAAATATCTAAAGCCGCCATTTTTTGAATTGGTTTTGCACAAACTAAAGTAAAATGAGTGGAAATCAAAGTATTAATGATGCACTGAACTGTGTAAGCACTTGTGTGTAAAGCAAAGAGTTTAAAACTGATTTATAAATGGTAAAATGTTTACAGCAGAATGTCTAAACGGTGCAACAACTTCACTTGCAAGTTTTTACTAGCTTTATGTTCAATAACTTGTTCTGCTAGTTTTCTCTTCTTCAGATTTTACGCTCTATTTTGCTTTTACGCTCTCGCTGCAATTTTAACTTGAGAAGATACTATACAAACCCAGGATTGAGAGAATACAAAGGTTTGCGCCGATCTCAGACCGCAATTCTCTCTTAACGAATTTAACAGAATCGTTGTTTGCATGACGTCACACTGGTGCAACTTGTTTACGTTTTCCTTGCAACATTTTTTCTTATTCTTCCATTCTTGCTCACGTTTTGGCATTTCTCTCTCGCAATTGCACCAGTGTGACGTCACAGAAAAGTTATTCTCAAAAATCCTCTCTGATCGGCGGAATCTTGTATTCTATCATTCTTGATACAAACCAAATACGCTACCTGAAGTACAGGGTGATAGATACGGGTTCTCACCTAGTACTTCCGATAGTGCATTTGATCCCAACCGATATTTGGTCCCATATAATATCCCAGGGCCCTACAAAGGGTTGCATTTTGTGTCAGATATCAGCTGTCAACGACCCTACAAATATTTTTGCTTATTTAGGCTGTGTGCCAATCGGTAACTTTTTTCTCCGTTGTGAGACGGGGTGGAAAAATTTGCTATGGTGTACAATTAAATTGAATTTTGCTGTGCCAAATGCAGAGTAAAATTTTGACAGTTGAAAAACCTAACAAACGCTCGTGCGAAAGCTTTATTTTTGTGTGTTGCTGAAATTCTTAAAATTTATATTTATTTTATAATTTGCAAGTAACGTACGCTTTTTTTATGCTGTTTCAGCTTTCATTTTCATGTTCACTCCTTATTACCGCCAAGTAATATTATGTGCATACATAGTTATAAACTGTCAAAATTTTACCTAGCCCCATGAGCTAGGTAAAATTTTGACGTTCGTTTCACCACGAGATGTGTCAAATTTTTACTTTGATCCGTCAAAATTTTCTATTTTCTATCAATTGGCACAGGGCAAGGTACATTGAACAGGTAGTATCAGTAGAGCAGCTGATTTGATTTATTTTCAAATTATTTGGTCTCGAAAATGTCAAATATTTTTAATTTTTTCTCACAAAAATTCTGAATTGTTAAAATCCATTTGCTTGTGAAACCTTTTTTCATACAAAACAAGCGATTGAATAGCAGCTTTTGGAACGTTCGCCCAACTCTGCAGCACGACCGCTGATTACTGGGCCTTGCAAAGGATGGATCAATGCAAGGCGTATTTAACAAGGTGGTGTTGGCCGTATATAAGTAAAAAATTACACTAACAAATTATACGCTGATGTCCATACTGTCATTGGTATGAATTACAACAAACACATCATTTTGACGTAATGGCCTCCACGGCGAAAAACTCAGCTGTCGCCCCAACACCACCTTGTTTAATACACCTTGGATCAATGCTTCGAGAAGCAAACAAATTTACTAGGAAAGAAAGTTGCATCTAAAGGTGGGTAACTCAACTCAGAGTTGAGTTATTGAGTTGATTCCTATAAGTGAATCGGTAACTCAGACTCCCTGTCCAAAAAAAATGTAACTCAGTAACTCAGTTGATGCCGTAGGGCTCACATGAATCAATTGAATCATAGTGGCTCATATTTGTCCATATAACTCTCTCGCTTCGCCACAGTGTTTAGCATGGCAAAGTCTTGCATTTTGTTTTTGCACGAGGCGAATTTATACAAGGTGGTGGCAAGAATACAACAACAACAACCACATGTATTTTGTATTGCGGGTGTTATGTCAAATCTCACAAATTCTTATAATTTCGTTTTTTTTTTAGTTTTTCTCGAAATATGTATGTATGTAAGATATATAAAGATGTGCATATCAAATCAATTGCCTTTCCAACCATATCCACATTTTGAAATTCGGTACAATAGGTTTCGAAATATAAGCTTTTGAAAATATTGAAAATTCCACCTTTACCCTCCCCCTAGCACCGCCCTATTAATTTGCACACAAAAAAATTACACCTTTCAAATCAGTAGAAAGGAGCTGACCACGCCCACTTTAAAGTTTTGTTTTATCTTAACGGCCGCTTTACCGCATCTATGCCTCAAAACGAGTCTACGATACGAATGAGTGTAACATACAAAGAGTCAAATGAGTTAGTTGAATGAGCTGACTCCTTAAAGTGAGTCACATGGCACGCTTTGATTTAGAAGAAAAAATTCAGAACAGTTTTTGAC